GTAACCCTTTGCCCAGGAGGAATGTGGGGCATTAGCTTCAAATATCCCTGACATTTGATGATCCACGCCTTAGGGTTGGATCCATCAAATTTTGGGAAATCAATTTGAGGGTAGGGAAGGTGTGGGATGTAATTACCAGGTGGATCATTTTTTTTTGCTTCTGATGAGACTTCCCTATGTGCAGGTTGTGAAGTCCCAAGGCATAAGGTGGTTCCCCCAGGATGGATGATCCTTCAGCAAAAGGATTTGTATCCATCTCAACGCTTCCAGATCTGTGTTTGTCTTGTGGAGATTTTGGTGAGATTTGTGGATCTGATTTCAATTCCATTGAGTCCATCCTCCTTTGTATATTTCCCAATTGTTTCAGAATCTCTGATTGAACCTCTTGATTTTTGGTTTGTATTTCTTCCTGTCTCATTTCTGCAGCTTTTCCTTTTCAAGATCTCAGCCAACAAGGACTGTTCGATCCTTTTCTGTCCATCCAAGCATTCCTTCATCCTGGTTCCTTCCGCCATCTACCTGGATCATAAGGACTCTGATACCAATTGTAATGATCTTGCAAGTTTACGTGGGTTACAAGAAAAGAGATAAGAGAGAATGATATAGAGATAGGGGTAAGAAATAGAATAAGCTTTTTTTCTATTCGTTCTCAAAGTCCATTCATACATATTTATATGCTTGTGATGATTTAAGGCTAAGCCCTTAAGTCACTGAACATCTACTAGTGTAATTTATTTAATGGGCCTTGAATAATATTAAAGCATTCAAAATATTTTATTTGATGGACATTTAATAATATAAAGGTGTTCCAAGCAGCCCATTAGGCCGTTTCCTCCTTTGGTCCAGCTTCGAGATTATCCACCTCCTTCTTCTCCCCTGGCAACGAACAAGTAAAGCTCTTAGCTTTATCACATATCTCTGCATAGGGTAAAAAAATTGAACTTTCCTCCATTTTAGACGAAACCATGACAAAAAGGTACCCGTATTTTTTTATGAGTTTTTAGCATTGTTTTTTATTGGTGTTTTTAAAAAAATCAATTTTTTTATTTTTATTTTATAAATCTTTTACTCCGTATTAATTATTATTATTATTTTATTATTTTTTACGATTTTTATTATTTTTTTAAGATTTATTTATGAATTAAAAAAATTCATTATGAATTATATCCTTATGGGTATTTAGGGTAGAAAATCAATGTTTAGTCCTGTTTGAGAAATTTAAAAAGTAGTAGTCCTATTTATGCTTTTTAGAGACACATTAGTCTCATTTAGAACAACAACTAAAAAAATACCTTTATACGTTTTTTGTGTATACTCTATATTTTACTTGTTCATTTAGAAAGTCCAAAATTTTGGAAGTTGTTTGTGTGTATACATCAAATAGACAGTGTCATAACATGTAAAAAAATGACTATAGCAAGAATTATTCGAATAAAATAAGGTGAATTATTTCTTTTTAATACTCCCTTCGTAACAAAAAAAAACTTCTCACTTTTCTTTTCGTTCGAACGAAAAAATCTTCTTATTTCTAACATTTCTCATCATACCATCAATAATTTGAAAATAATACACTACTACAATTACTTTTTAAGAATTTATCGTTCGCTCCATCATACTATTTCACTATCTTTTCGTCATACCCTCAATAATTTATATTCTCTTTAACTATTCTTAATCTACCTACTTTTGAAATGGGAACATTTTTATGTTATGGAGGGAGTATGTCTCAAAAGAAAATAAGGTGACTTAAAATCTAAGTACCTGAAACCCATTAGCATCCAATGTAGCGCGGTCTAGAACACTCAAAGATCACTAGCTAGCTTCATGTGCTGCATAGCGAGCTTGTGTACACAGTGCAATGTTAGTATTATACTCTTTCTGTTCCACTGGACTTGCCAACTTTCTTTTTTCGTTTGTTCTAAAAAAATTGTCAGTTTGCTTTTAAAGTAATGAATTTGTGGTTCTGTTTATTTCTCTCTCTTCTGTGCAAACCTCAACCTCACGTTTTTTACTATTCTAATTTATCATCGAACATAAACTTGGCAAAGTTGAATGAGATGAGGTAATACAAGTTATGTCTGTTTTTTTACTGCTTTTATCATCACATCGTTTGAATTAATCCACTATTCTATCATGACCTTCAAGTGAAGCTCATGAGCCAGTAATGAACTTGACGATTACCACGGGAATGTCAGATTGCTGGGTATGTTATATCGATGGGAATGTATTCGATTGATTCCCATTTGTGTTTGGTTAACATCAAGGGAATGTGTCATAATTTATTTGGTTGAAAGATATCTTATATTGCAGATATGATGAATTACTTTTATGCCCTTTAAACCTATAACTCTTATAACATAAATACCTTAAAAAATTTAAATGGTAAGGCAAAAATATGCAAATAACAAGAATAGACATTCAAATATAATTAATACTCTGTCCGTCCCACCTAAAAGGTTGTTACCCAATTTACGATGTTCGACTAAACATGAAACTAACCGATCTCTTTCAATAATAAGATTATTTTTAGTAAATAAAATTTACATATTTAGACACTACATTAAAAGTTTTATAAAGTCACAAAAAAATAAATTTGATAACAGTTGAATATATAAAGAAATTAAATGAAAAGAGATAATTAATTGAAGGTATTTTCAGAAGAAAATTAGATCACCCCGAGAATGTGAGATAACCTAAGGCATGGATGGGTTTAACATTCCCCTCCATGCATATAACATTTCCAAGAATGTAACTTTCCCGATTTCTCTTCAAACCCGTGAACCAAACTATGGTATCTAACATTCCGTGCATAGAGTTCCGTTTTAAAGTTATCAGTTTTACCCATATTAATAGTGAAGCCAATGGTCTTTCGCTGCTCCAGTTTGATGAGTCACAATTGAATTTGAAAGAATCTTATCCTCGCCGAAGCCACTTAATACTTTTAGCCACATTTAATTTGCTCGATGACATGGTGTTCTAAGTTGCTTATTGTAATGTAAAAAAAGTTCTACCGTGTGAGTTTATGAGAGATCTTGGATGTATTATATTCAAGTTGGATCTGAAATCAAATTGAATTTTTAGTTAAGTGTTGAATAAGCTTCCAATTCAAATTCATATGGAGTTGAGAATTATACGGCTAGAATGCAAATTACCATGGAAGTGGCATATAACTTTCACCTATGATATAAATAGGGAAAACTACAGTAAACGTACTTATAGTTTGGGGTGTTTTCAATTGGGGGCATGAGTTTCATTTCTTGACAAACACAGGTGCGTGATTTCACTCTGTTATCTCACCCGGGGCACCGGCCCTTACGATGTTAGTTTGGGCTGATGTGGCATCATTTATTTGGCAACGTCCACTCCAACACATCATTTAGTTGGAATTGAATTAAACAGCATGCTTTATTCTTACAATTTTTGTTTAAGAATGACGAAAGCTTCTCAACGTATGTCAGCGTTGGTGACCGCCGATCTATTGTGCTGCTGAAGTGACATAAGAAGACGACGACTGCTAAACACCTGGTCTTTCTGTGAAACGTAAGTAAAGCATTTGAGGTTTTCTTTTTGTACCAAAGTTTTAAGTTTTGGACTGGATTGTGTGTTAATTAAATTCATAGCTTGCAATGTGTAATGTGGTTAATTTCATATGTGAAAATGTATGTATAGGTTGGAATGACAGAGTATGTGAACTTGTTTATTCACCATGGTGGTAAATGGGACTGTGCGAAAAAGAAAAGGGGATATTTGGGGGGTGAGCTGACCAAAAAGGAAAAGGTAGACATTGACTACCTCAGTAAGTTCGAATTGGATGGGTATGCAGAGGACTTGGGCTATAAAGATGGTGTACAAATATGGTTCAGAAGGCTTTCAATTAAAGATGTATGTGGCGCAGCTGCTTTACAGGAAATTCAATGTGATTAGGATGTACATGACATGCTTCTTTCCAACATTATGAACCCATACATTGAATTGTATTTTGTCTCAAAGAAGACTCCAAAAGGGAAAGGGAAAGATAAAGTACTAGCAAGCCCCTCAAACCCTTCCCAAAGTGCAGATGCAACCCCAACTTGTGATAAATCAGCCCCATGTACTGATTTAGCCATACCCTGTGATGCAAGCCCTACTTTACAACTACTCAACTGTGTGGAGTCAACCCACACTTCATTACAATCCCAGCCTGAACAAGAGGGTGTTCCTACATTTCTACAAGCAGAATACCACAGTGAAGATGAAGTGTTTCAAGATGTGATCAGTGAAGATGAAGCACCCGAGTTTAATGAAGGTCATGATGAGGGGAATATACCTGATTTCAATGAAGAAACTTGGGTTGACCAAGATTTAGATGAGTTCAATGAAGAGGCAGCCTACAGTGATGACCTTCACAGCTACAATGGATCTTCAGATGATGAGAGAAATAATCCTGAGTTTAATGCAAACAATGGATCTAAACATGGTGATTTGTGCAGAGGGATGAGATTCGCCTCACATGTGGAATTCAGAAAAGCTTTAAAAGAGTGGGCTGTTAAAAGTGCATTTGATTTCAAGTATGTGAACAATAGAAGAGCTAACATCACTGTTGTAACGCCCCGAAATCTGGTCTAGTAGTTAAGGTACATATGAATAAAAAATCTAGATAAAATTTTCCCATCAAATTAAATATCTTCGTAAAATTATAAAGTAAGTAGTTATATAAAAAAACAAAATTAATAATAAAGTAGCATAAAAAAATGAAGAACGTAAAATACAATTTGATCACATAAACTTAACAAAATGATGAGGGACATGAGTAACACCAAATTAAATGATTTCAATTATTTGATTGATTAATTATATTGAATAGTAACATTTTAGGAGACAAATTGACATGCTAAATTAAATGAGATGCAAACAAATGAATAGTAGTATTGAGATAAGGACACTATTCTTCATGAAACTCCTAGCCACACACATGGGATTTATTTGACTATAAATAGGAGCTTTCCTCCTCTCTTTTCTTTCACACAATTCGGAAACTAAGTAAGGAAACACATCAAGAGATATAGTTGCAAGAAGAAGAATACTAGCAGGAGGTTTTCCATATCAATAAAAATTTAGAAGAATTTGTCTATAAGGTTAGTACATCTCCGACCCCATTTTATCTAGTGTGTATTTTTATATTATCACATTAGTATATTTTCCATCCCCGTTAATGATATGTTATGGGGATGATCAACATGATATAATTTTGGAAATATTATGCATGCTCTGAATATGTGTATTTCAATTTATATGTAGTATTAATTTTAGACTCATATTTGATTGTCATTAACTAATGTATAGATTAAATATATATAAAAAATACAGGTAAGCCTATTGGAATTTATAAGAAGTAAACTGACATATTTTGATGCTCGTATATATGTATGCGAAACATATATATTACGTAGGTGTATTGAAAAATATAACTTCAGTATCTACGTACTCAATTTTATTTCTTAAATTACTCGTATTACATAATACAAAGGATTGCATGTATATGTATTTGTTTACTCAAATTCCACTTACGTTACTTATTATAAGATCATTTAACTAGTATTTAATTTATTGAGTTTAGTAAAATGAATGAGATATAGTCTAAACTAGTTTTAGGTACCCACTCATATATTATGTATGTGATATTGTAATAATTAATGTTATCACGAGTCACTACTTTGTAATAGTATTTTATTGTGATTTTTTAAAATAAAAAGAAAAGTTATTTCTGATCCGTATAAAAAATAGTTGATGACACTCTTAAAGCTTGATATTTATTGTACCGACCAGTCAAAGAAATTGGACATACTATATATATAAAGATTAGAACCATATAAAGATTACAGCTAGGTATAAGAATCAATTATACAAATACTTATATATATATATATCCGGTTTAAATATTGGAGTATAAAAATATATATATTTTATACGTATGCCTAACTTAATTAATAACTTATAAATATATTTAATGAATATACCATTATGTATAAGTAATGATTGCTACCTTTTAATTTTACTATAGTAATAGGACGTACATCATATATTACGTACTATTCTAGCTTATAAATGTTTAAGTATATAAATAAATGTTTAGATATATTTATTTAGCTATAAATAAGTATTATTATGAAAACTAGCCTTACTCTTGATCCGGTACTTTGATGTGGACACTCCTGTTCTGTTTAGTGTACTATGTACACTCCTGAAATTCTGTTTAGAGGAATTAGTGTTCTCCTGTTTAGTGTACTATGTACACTCCTGAAATCTTTTTAGAACATTATTACTCTTCTGTTAAGGTTCGAGTCTCTTCGGTGATCTCGTCCTTTCTGTCAGCTAGCTTCTGTTAGGGATTGGTACGTGTAGCTCCGGCGATTACGTTTCCATATCCTTTCTGGGTAATGTGGGTATGGACTTTGTGACTATATTCCTTACCGTTAGTATTCCGCTGTCTAGGTCCAGTTTCTTGAGTACAGGCTAAAATGAATTTATTAATAATATACATCTGAATAAGAATTATTTGATAATTATGATATCTGAATATGCTTATGATCTTTATTTTTATAACAGTTATCTGATTCACTCAGGTATGTTATATGACTATTGACTAAATGTTAATTATGTTATGTTGCTATGTGATTTGATAAGTGATTGTTATCATTGTTATTATTATTATCATTATTTATGTTATTATAATTAGTAGTAGTATTAGTATCGTACCACTCAGCACATTGTTGAGCGGGTAGTTGTTTGTTTTTCCTACCCGTAGGTTGACGTAGCTGACTGAGCTAAGATAAGGATGCTGGGATGGACGGAGGCGTAGGATTCATGTGCATATCATGTGTGTATTGTTGAAAATAAATAAACATGAAGCAAGTTTGACTTTAATCTTATCTGATCATTTTCGTTTTTGTAAACGCTTCCGCATATGTTAAAATATCTGGTGTTGTATAATATCAAGTGATTTATGACGTCATGATATTTTCAGGTATTGAATAATAAGCTGACGTTTTAATAAATATGTTTTATTTAATACTTAATTTTGTTTAAATAATTAAAAGTCTTTTGGTCAAATTTGTTTTGATTTCTACCACGTGACACATCGCTCGGATCGGCGAGGCCGGTTCGGGTAGGGTGTTACAATTGTGGTCTGCAAAAATAAGGAAACTTGTTCATTCCGGGTTCATGCATCAAAAATAAGTGATTCTGGGTATTTCGAAATAATGACTTTCAGACCCAAGCATGAATGTTCCTTTAGTAATCAAAATAGTCTTGTGACAAGCACATATTTGAGTGAGAAATATCTTGATGAGTTGAGATACAATCCAAACTAGGATGTTATAGAAATGCAAAAGACAATTCAAAGGGAGCTTAGGGTGCAGGTAAGCCTTGCCATGTGATATAGAGCTCGAGTTAAAGCAAAGGCCAAGATTGCCGGTGATATCACAGAGCAGTACAGAAGACTAAGAGATTATGTTGCTACTGTTCTTAAGTATAATCCAGGTAGTCTTGTCAATCTTAAAATTGAAGTGGTTTCTGAGGAGGTACAAGAAGCAGGTGTGGGTGAGGCAGTTCCTTCAATACCCAAAGAGGTCACAATATTTCAGTACATGTATATGAGGTTCACAGCTCAGACACAAGGATACTTTTCAGGTTTAAGACCCTTAATCTGCTTGGATGGGTGCCATGTCAAGACTTCAATGGGAGGACAACTTCTATGTGCAGTTGCCAGGGATGGAAATGAGAAAATGTTTCCCCTAGCTATTGCATATGTTGACAGTGAAGACAAAGCTTCATGGACTTGGTTCCTATAGGTTCTCTTTGAAGACTTTGGAAGACTAGAAGACACTAAATGGACTTTCATGTCTGACAAATAGAAGGTAAGGAGTCTTTATACTAATGCTCTTTTAATTGTGTTGTTTTGAAGTCTGTAATCTAGTAATTGCTTACTATGTATTGTTTGTACATGTACACTTATTTAAGGGGTTAGTTGAGGCTTTTAAGGCTGTCAATCTATTGAATGAGCATAGCTATTGCTTGAAACACATGTATGAGAACTATAAGAAGGTTTTCAGGGGTGGGGAGTACAAGAAAAAGTTGTGGTTAGCCGCAAGTACTGGAAGTTTAAGGTCCTGGCAGAGACATATGGAAGCAATAAAGAATTTTGATGAGGCTGCCCACACTTGGTTGCTGCAATATGACCCTAGGACTTGGAGTAGGGCTCATTTCTCAACACATACCCAGTCAGATGCCCTACAAAACAACATATGTGAGTATTTCAATTCTTACATTCTTAGAGCTAGAGATTTGCCTATCCTAAGTATGTTTGAATGGATTAGAAAACGGTTAATAAAAAGGTTTCATGTCAAGTACACTGGGATGCTGAAATACAAGGGGGCAATTTGTTCTAACAAACAGGACCTTCTAGAAAAATACAAGTATGAAAGTAGGAATTGTTTTTGCACACCAGCTGATGACAAGCTTTATGAGGTAGAATATTTTGATAGAAGTTATGTGGTAAACTTGAATGAAAGAAGCTACACTTGTAGAGTGTGGGATTTAAATGGAATCCCATGCAAACATGGAGTGTCTGCTATTTATGCAAATAGAGAAAAACTCGAGGAGTATGTCAGTCCTTATTACTCAAAAGATACCTACCTAGCTGTGTACAACCATATGATCCACCCTGTACCTAGTAAAGAGGAGTGGGAAACCACTATATACCCCAACATCAAGGCACCAATTCCAAGAAAGCCAGCTGGTAGACCACAGAAAAAGAGAATTAGAGCTCTTGAAGAAACAAGGAATCCATATAAGGTTTCTAGGTCTGGGAAGCAGGTAGTTTGTGGTAATTGTAAGCATGTGGGTCATAATGTAAGAGGATGTAAGACATCCCTTACTGGAGAAACCCCATGACAGAGAAGAATGAGGCTGAGAAAACAAAAGTCTTCCACAGGAGGCCAAGTTCCTGATGCTTATGAAGCTGCAAATAAAGATTCTCATGTCAACACTCAGGTTGTGGAGACCACCAGTGAATCAGTCCCCAATGCTTCCACTCCAAATGCAACAAGTTCAAGAAAAAGAAGAAATACTTGTAGTTCTCAACCACAACAACCTTCAACAAGAAGAATTACCAGATCATCACAAGAAATACTTGTGATGATGTAATTGTGAATGTAGCAGACATTTTGTAATGTAATTTGGATTAATTTTTGTAGTTATTTTGCTGAATATGATGTGTAATATGTTTTGGATGGAATTTTGCACTGAATGTGTAGTCTGTGTAATGGCATACTTTGCTCTGCTTTTGATTAAAAGGAAGAAACTGTGTACTTGTTGTTTTGGATGGAATGAAATGAATATGGGTAACTTAACTAAAATTGTATCATTATGTTTCCATTTAAAGTTTAACAGACGTATGGTTACAATAGGATGTTCATCTGGTGGGATTGCTAATATCATGTGAATCATTATGTGTCATTATGTATCATTATGAATCATTATGTATCATTATGCTTCCATTATGTTTCAGTATGGGATTGCTAATGTGATTTGTCCATTTAAGATGTATTAGGGAGTCAAACATGATAATAAACATGACATAATGGCTTCCATCAGATTACCTTCTCGTAATGGCTTCCATTTTATCTAGACATAAGGATATGCTTCCATATCATTTACATCTGATTTGCTTGTAATCTAATATGCTTCCATAGTGGCTTAAACCCAGTTTGCAGACATCCCTCAGTAAGATATTTTATACATATGCTTCCCATCAACATGATCATTAACAACAAAAGATTCAAAAAGATCATAAGCTTGAAAACCAAATCCATAATCTTCACTACAACAATACAACCAAATTCAACAACCAAATCAGTACCCACATACAACCACACAACACCTAAACATCTCCTAAAGAAAATGACAATTAATTCAAAAAGCACTCTTAGTGAGACATTTTATCAAACACATGACAACCTTACACAACTAATATATCCTACTTCCCAGCAAGATGATAACAAACAACCCAAACCACACTACATTCCAGGAGAAAGTCCCATTGCCTTTCTTTGACATCTTAAGTTCCTCTTCCATATTTTGGAGTTTCTAAAGACCAATCCCACGAACACAACTCTTGATTTCAGCTTGCATCTCTAATTCTTTCATTCAGAAATTCTCTTAAACACTGGTAATCTTCTAGAGCAAGGTCTCTATCCGTCTCAGGCAAGTACCACATTCTTCATCCTCAACCCATTCAAAGAAATTACACTTTTGACCACTCAAGAAACGATCGCACCCATAAAATCTTTTTCCCCTGTTTTTGTCTGTTGTAGCCGTCCACACTGGTGCTTGGAGTCCACAGTCACACCTCTTAATTCGCCTTCTTGCATCCATGGACCAAGACTCAACACTCGAAGAACTCATCGCCGTCTTACTTCCCTTTCTTTATTTCCTTCAACGACGTCTTAGGACTGCCTTAAACAAGAGGCTGGAGGGTTTTAATAATTAAGCAGAAAAGAAAAGCCAAGTGTATATGCGTAAAAGAACCATTTCAAATTTAACCAAATAAATGATGTCACGTCAGCCCAAACTAACGTCGTAAGGGCCGGTGCCCGTGTTTGTCAAGAAATGAAATTCATGCCCCCAATTGAAAACACCCCAAACCACAAGTACGTTTACTGTAGTTTTCCCATATAAATAAGATATCTTTATAATTGTTCTTGAGCAATTTGATGGCTTCATGGCTTCATCAATAAGCTATTGGGTATTAGCCCTTAGTAGGAGTAAAATAAGCCCAAAATTCAACAATGGGAGTACAATCCTTTTATTCCCAAAATAGGACTAATATATGTCTCTTCTTCCCATTCTACCCTCTTCATATCATTTCCAATAGATTTATTTTATTGATAAGAAAATCATAGTTTTATTTATAATAAAAATATAAAAAATAATAAAATATTTATAAAATAATAATGAAAACGTGAAAAAATAAAATAAAAAATTAAAAAAATTAAAAATAATAAATAAATTTTTATTTTTTTTAAAAAAAGTCCAAAAAATAAATTAAAATACCTAAAAAATTAAAAAATATGTAGGTCACTGCCAACGCGTCCTCTACCACCCAGCACCACCGACTCCGGTCGCCGGAAAAAAATCCCATCTTGAGTAAAAAATGTCACATTTCTCTGAACATGCCATAAAGATGACATTTTTACTCTTTGAAAATATTCAGCTTTCTCTTGCTTTCTCTTCAAAATTGCCATCATGATGACATTTTTTCTCCAACTTGGCAATCTTTTCCGGCGACCGGAGGTGGCGGTGCTGGAAGGTGGCTGAGGTGGTGGTTGGGGTCTATATATTTTTTAATTTTTTTTACAATTTTTATTTTTTTATATTGATTTTTTTATATTTTATAATGATTGTTTAAAAATCCTATTATCAAGGACAAATGAAAGGGTAGAATAGGAAGAGTTAGTCCTATTTTGGGAATTTAAACTTTAAACTCTTGTAAACTTTAAACTTTACAAGAGTAATAATTAGCTATTCGATAGTTTTTTATATAAATGTTAATGTTAGATCCGATTAGTGAAATTAAATATATCATATTATCAGTGGTGGAGATAGAGAAGAGGAGAAAAAAAATCTAATGTATGTATAAATGTGTGAGTATTTATAGTCACAAAAAGATACTACATACTTTGTTATTTTAAGTTTTGGCTCTCATAATATAAAATTTTCAAACCCTGGCCGCGTAACATTACTTTTTTGCTCCGCCACTGTTGTATATTACGTAGTACAATATACCGCATAATATATTTGAAAATTTTGGATCAAGATAATTTGTTGATGATACTAACTAAATATCTCTAAGAATTGTGTTTTTTCATCCTTTTAAACTTGTTACATTATCTGCTCAACTAAGAATTATGGGTTTTATAAGATAACTTCATAGGTGGTCAGGGGCGGAGGTAGAGGAGGGGCCGATCGGGCCCCGACCAACCTAAAATTTCAAAATTATTTGTATTTTTAGTGTAAATTTTATGTATAAATAGTTATCTGAAAAAATTATTTATATCGGCCCATTCCAAGCTTCGATGCTGACTATGCCGCTGTAGGTGGTGCACCCGTTTTGTTTTGAACAAGTCCGTCTTCACGATTGTATGTCGAATACCGCCGGTAACAACCTCAAATATTGAAAAATGAGTAAAAATTTGTACCTTTTCTTGTATTGAAATGCTAGCTAGCTTTTTTCTGCCCATCAGCATTCAAGTTAGCGAAATTCCAACGGCAGCCCTCCTTTTACTATACAAAGCCACATTTTTTCGTAATACGGAGTATTAAGTTGTATTAATTTGAATTCTTATTATAACCTTGGTGGCTGTCTACACTCTAAAGAGTAATACGGAGTACCTCTGGAACGATGAAATATACTCGTAGAATAATTCAAACGTCCTTCTGTGGAGCCTTGAGATTTCGATTGAATGAGTGTTTTGTCTAGGGTTTTCTCGCAGATTTTCTACGCTGTCCTTGAGGATTTAACAAAAGTGCTTTAGACCAAATTCCCAGTGATTATGGCATCCGATTCTACGACAATCGAAGATTTGTATTCCAGGCTGTCACTAGAGGAGGAGGAAGATGAAGGTTTGGACGTGGGAGCCGGAGAAGCTGAAGGTCTGAAAGAAAACTTAGCGTTGGCGATTGTTGGAAGAGTGTTGACTGATAAACCTGTGAAATTCACTTACTTTCGAGACACAATAGCCAATATCTGGCGACCTGCAAAGGGAGTCCATATTAGATAGATTGGAGGTCAGAGATTTCTATTCCAATTTTTTCATGAAGCGGACATTCAGAGTCATTGAAGATTCCCCTTGGGCATTTGATAGAAACCTCATCATACTTCACAAATTAAATCCTCTTGACAGCCCGCTGCAATGCCCGTTAATGCATTCTGAGTTCTGGGTACAAGTACATAATATACCTCTAAAACTGATGACAGAAAACATTGCTCAGATGATCGGTTAAAGATTAGGAACTTTTGTGAAAGCTGATGAGAAAATTTTCAAAGGTCCAGTAAAGGTTTTTCTGGGTATCAGGGTTTCACTTGATGTTAGCACCCCTCTCAAGCGTCGTATGAGAATTTATCAAGGTCCAGATTCGGTATGGGTTGAGTTCAAGTATGAGAGACTTCCTCTCTTTTGTTTTATATGTGGCAAGTTGGGTCATACTGACCGGTACTGCTCCATACATGTAGAGGGAGCTTGGGATGGGAAAGAAAAACCATACTGAACGTGGTTAGAAGCAGGGGGCAGGAAAGATCAAGATGGAAAAAGAAGCCTGTGGCTAGTTACTGGAGAGGCGGTTGGTGGGGCTAGGGGTGGCTTTTTCAATAATACAGTGGGTGCAAGAGGGAGGAACGATGAAGGCGGTAGTCAGGGACAGATGAGAGGTGGAGTGCAAGGAAGGGGTCGGAGCTATGCCGGTGAAGTAGGTATATCAGGGACTATGGCACATAGCATCCGGGGAGAGTTTGAGACACAAGGGCAGCATGCTGTGGGAAAACACAGGAGGATGGATATGGAGGCAATAAGGTCACTTGGGGAAAGCTTGACACAGAGTTCAAAAAACTTGCTAGAGGCGGGTCCTGCTATGCAGGCCCACCTAGAATCATGAGTTGTTTTAGTTGGAACTGTCGGGGGCTTGGAAACCCATCGACAGTTCAGGTTCTGGTGGATGTGGTTCACTCTAAGCGGCCGTCTCTTGTCTTCCTCATGGAGACATTTTCAAAGACTCCTAAAATTATGAGTGTTGCACGAAGAATAGGGTATAATAACTGGTTTGTAGTAGATTGTGTTGGTCACCAGGGTGGGATTGCTCTCTTGTGGAGAGATGGAGTGGAGGTGGAGATTACTGGTTCATGAAGCAACTACATTGATGCAAGTCTCAGGCTGGAAGTAGAAGACTCCTCCTGGAGGTTTACTGGCTTTTATGGTTTTCCGGACAGAGCACGGGGGAAGGATTCTTGGAATCTACTACGTCACTTTAGTTCACTATCTTTACTTACATGGCTTATCATGGGGGACTTTAACGATATCATGTTCCACAGTGAAAAGAGAGGCAGCATACCTCATCCGCGTTGGCTCTTACAAGGATTTCGTGAGGCTGCCTGGGCAAGCGGTTTGCTGAATTTTGCTTTTGATGGATACCAATTCACTTGGGAAAGAGGAAGAGGTACTAGTAGATGGGTTCAATAGAAATTGGATCGGATTTTGGTTTCACCTAGCTGGGAGGAATGATTTG